ACATATATTTTTTGTTTCACAGACAAAATATTCAAGACATTTATCATGGTTTGTATAGGCGTATAACGATTCACATTTAAAATTACTCTCATAGCTCTATTCTGTATAATTTGTATTTCATTAACTATATACCTGGGTAAATTATATAAAAGGGTTGAACAAAATGAAATATGTGGTAGTGCTATACTTTTATAAAGTAGTAGTTTTGTGTATAAGGACAGATTTTTACCTATTCTAGTTATAAAAAATACTTTTTTGCTTAACTTGTTCATTACATAGCTTGCATGTTTGTGAAAATTTAATTGTTCATCAAGGATCACTCCGAGATATTTAATTTCTTTTACACATTCTAATTTGACATTATTAACACTTATATTTAAAAAATTAAAATCAACATTTACAGTCTTATATCTACTCCCAAATACACAGAATTTAGTTTTTGACACATTTAAACATAAACTATTGCTATTTAGCCACTCACATAGCAATTTTAAATCGTTGTTTATTAGTTCACTCATTACATTTAAATTGTTCCCTTCTATGTATAGCATAGTATCATCTGCGAACATTTTTATTTTGCTGGATTTAACTATTTTTGCCATGTTGTTTATATACAATATAAATAAAATTGGCCCAAGCACAGTTCCTTGCGGTACTCCATATTTAACAGGTTTACAACTTGAATACATACTTCCATATTTAACTTTTTGTTTTCTATTATGAAGGTAGGATTTGAACCATTCCAGTACCTTTCCACTTAGTCCCATTTTTTTCAATTTTAGTAATAGCAAATTTTTATCTATTGTCTCAAAAGCTCTTTTGAAGTCTAAAAATACTGCCAACACAAAGTTCCCACAATCTATCGCTTTTAAAAATTCATTACAAATATGTACAACCACTGACTCACATGAATAACCTCTTCGAAACCCAGATTGGTTTGATACTAACACATTATTTTCGACACAATATTTTAATAGTTGCTCCTTAACCACAGATTCTAACAGTTTCTCATATATTGGTACTGTGTTAATCGGTCGAAATTCACAGCTTTTTTTAGTATTGGACACTTTTTGTACTGGTATTATCACAGATGTTTTCCAATTTTTCGGAACTTCTCCGTATGATAATGACGAGTTGATTACATCCAACAATCTATTTCCAACTACATTAAACACATCTTTCAGTACATTCGTTGATATGCCATCCTCACCACCATTAACATTTTTCATGCCTTTTACTATATTTTTTAAATCACATAATCCAATAGCCTTAAACTCAGAAAAATAGCCGTAGAAACGAACACTGTCCAACAAAGCTTCGTCAAAAACTGTATTTATTGAAGCAACAATATCTTCAACGCTATTTATAAAATATGAGTTAAACTCTTCTACAATAGATGTTGGGTTATTTATCCATTTATTATTAAACAATATTTCATCGGGACAACTCTTTTCTGAACATGGTAGCAAAGTTTTTAATGTTTTCCACATCTCTTTGGGCTGATGTTTATACGTATCAATTTTATCCAAGTAAAACTTGTCTTTTTGTTTCTTTATTTGCTTTACTATACTGTTCCTAAGAATTATATAGTCCCTCCAAATTTCACCATCTCCAGTAAGTGATGCTCTTTTATATGTTGTATCTCTTTGTTGTATCATGTTCTTTATTTCATCATTCATCCATTCCTTGTTCTGGTACTTTTTTTTTATTTTGACTTTTATAATTGGGCACATATTGTCTAATACGTTTGTAATGCTTGCAATGAAATTTTCTGCCAATGCACTTACATCTGAGGTGGTATTGTTCCATTCGACATCTAACAACATTTCTTGTAACCTTTCGCTGCTGTAATTTTTCATGCGTCTGCACGACAGTGTCATGTCTTCATTAATATTATCAACAGAGTTTGGCAATGAAATACTAAGAATATAATGGTCACTTATTCTTGGGGTAGTATGAACGGTGTGTATAAGATTATGATTATTGGTCAGGATGTAATCAATTAAGGTTGCACTTGATTGTGTTACTCTTGTTGGCACTTCCACAAGTTGTTTAAAACCATGCCTATATATGATTTCTTTAATTTTATTTCCATAAAAAGTTGATTGCATTAAGTTATAATTAAAGTCTCCAACAATAGTGTTAATGCCTTCTAAAGTGCTAACAGTTTCCAGGTATCCATGAAAGTAGTCCAAAAATAAGGCATCTTCCCTTTGCGGTGGATGGTAAATAACAGTTATTAAATATTTTTGACCATATATTTTAATTTCTATTGAAAGCAACCATAAATAATTTGGAAAATAGTGTACAGTTTTGACTTTATATTTAAGGCTATTGTGTACAAACATCATAACTCCCCCTGTTCTACAATTATCTGTGCAGCATTTTTCCAGGTTATAATTATCAATTTTTAATTCCGTTGATTCAACATGAGTCGTAACATGGGTCTCTGAGAGCAAAAGAATAATTGGCCTTATTTGGGAAACGAAATAGACAATTTGGTCCTTATTGTTGAGAAATCCTCTACAGTTAAAATAAACAATACTGCTTTTTAACTTTGGTTCTTCTAATTGCTATTTCACGAATTTGTTTTTTTGTAATTCTTCATATCTTTTATATGTTGTACAGGTATCTTTGTTCCATGCTTCATGGTCAGTTTCTAATTTCAATCCATACTTAACATTTGACTGTTCACAATTTATACATTTGGTAATATTACTAGTGCAGTTTTTTTTATCATGATCTCCACCACATTTTTGACAAATTTGCTCACTTTTTTCCTGACAATCATTAGCGATGTGTCCATATCTCCAACATTTGTAACATTGAATAACTCCATAATCATTGAACAAACGGCAACGGCTCCATCCTAGATTAACTCGTTCTTTCTTAATCAATATATCATAAGTATTTGTATCTAACTCAAGTATTATATTAAATTTGTGGTTAATAATCTTAGTTCTGCGTAATACTTTTATGTTACTTTCTTCATTTAAATCGTTTTGTCTAATTATTTTTTTTAGATATAGTTTCATCATCTTCCTGATTCAATTCACCATTAATATTAACAATTTTAATTCGGTTTTCGAGAGTTTTAGGCTTAGTAACATTATAATTATCCCCTAACTTGTTCTGAATCGTATTTTGGATGTTTTCAATTTTATTGTCTTTTCCACAATTTATTAATAAACCACCATTTTTTACTCCTCTTCCTTCTTTTTATTTTCGTTTGTTCTAGAAAAGATTTAAATTCTTTGCTAGATGAATAAATATTTTTATCTACTTCTACATTGACGAGCTGTCACTTTATGGCGTTTTATTGACGGGCTGAAGTTAACAACAGTGGCTTTTCGACATTTTACGTCACGGGCTGAAGTAACTAAAATGGCGTTTATAAAACTTGATACATAATATACTATTTTAATATGGTTAAGGAATTTATCCTTTATTAACCCGATTTCCATATTTGTGCAGTCTAAAAATAATAACACATTTTTAAACAAATAAAAGTGAAAAAAGATTGTGTGAGTAAAAAATATTGTTTAAACACATTTTATGTGTTAAAATCATTTTGTACTTTTTTTGTTTAAATTCTTTATCTTTTTTGGTAATGATTTCATCATTACTAGTATCGTCTAAATCTAAAAGAATTATTTTACAATATCCATTTCTATAAACATAATGCATTTACCTACTCTCTGGATTATCAATTAAGTCCTGGAAGATATATTTTTAACTTAAATCGTTCTTTTACACTTAAGATGTTAGAACAAAAGCGAATGCGTAACAAATAACATATAAGAAGTATTAAAGATCATCAAGTCTGAACATCTATGACTGCACGAGATATTGCAAGGTTGCCAAATTTCGGAGGTAACAAATGTACGTATACATGACGGAGGTAACTTTGGTGTGGCTGAATCTGATTAAAAAGCGACACTAGCGCCAATTCATATATGGTGGAACTAAAAGTTCCTTTTGAAGAGACTGGGGGGTCAAAGTGACCTCCGAAATATTTTTGCACAGATTGATTACTGACACTCCCCCAATGTCAAAAATATGGTTAAACACTGTGACCTCCGAATTTGGAGGTCACAGCGTCATATATGAGGTCACAACGTATGAAGGGTCTCCGTTTTGGAGGTGACAATGTACCCTTTATCAATCTATATATATATATATATATATATATATATATATATATATATATATATATATATATATATATATATATATATATATATATATATATATATATATATATATATATCGATATATATATATATATATCGATATTTTTCCATCCCTTATTTCAGGCCTACTATTAATGCTTCTTTGCATTATGATAATGCTAACAGATCATTAATTAATGTATATTAGGTGATTGGGATAATGTTCTTTAATTGTTAATTGATAAAAATTTATTAATTGGTTGATGTTTACTGGGCATAGAATTAATGTACTAGGACATTAATCCATGTCAATGGTCATTAATATCAGTACTTTTATTTGAGATCTTCCTGATTAAAATCAATGTGCGCCAAGCATTAATATTACGTCCTTGTACATTGAGTAATACTTTAAAAGCATTGTGGTAATGATTTTGAGCATCGGAGCAAAATTAATGTAAAAAATCATTGCCCTAATGTTTTTTTTTATTAATATTACTTACGTACGTTTTTCGTTGTGTGTACATACTACATCTTGAAATGCAAGCTTATTTCCACACCACCATGAGGTAAAGCTTATTGGCGCGTTTTTTTAACGTGGTGTCCCCTGGTAGGCCTAATCCACATAATAATAATACAAAAGTTGTTGGGTTTAAAAAAACCAAATTTGATAGTATTATTTTTACAGGGTGTCCCAGAAGCGGTTTACAGCTCTTAACTTGAAAATTCTAAATGGGACACCCTGTATTTTATTTGATTTTTTTTTAAACCAAACAACTTTTGTATTATTATATTTTTTTAGAGGGGGGTCAAAATAGAGGACATGTTTTTCTATCTGTTAGATGGTCCAGGTTGACTTATATCTTCATAAAAAATGTCATCTTCATTATCGGTACTGCCTGCATGCAAATTTAACAGGTGTGGTTTTTTCTTGGGTGGCTGGTATAATTTATTTGAAGACATTAAAGACAACTGATCCTCACTCAGTTTATTTGTTAATGAACTAGGAGACATGGCTGCTGATTTTAATTTTACTATGGCTAATGCATTAAAAGATTCGTTGGACAAAGAATTTCTTTTTTTTGTTGAAATGTCCGGCAACAAAGAAAATGTCTTTTCAGCAGCTGCGTTGAAGTGTGGTAAGGAACGAATGTACCCTACCAAAGCTTTTAAATTTGGAAATATTTCCATACCGTTCCCATTTTTGCAAGAAAGTACATTTTTCCACATTTCATCAAATGTTACAAGACATATCTCATCTCTTAAGGGGCCGTCCATAAATTACGTAACACCATTTTTGCCAATTTTTGACCCCCCCCTCCCCCCTGTGTAACACTCTGTCACACTTGGGCAAACCCCCCCCTCCTAAAATTACGTAACACTTTGGCTTACCCCCCCTAAACTCAAAAAAAGGACAAAACATATATTTAGTTAATAACAAAAAAAAAAAACAAAAAATATACTCAGTCAACAGAATCTTAATCTTAAATCAAACAAAAACCAAAATCTTAAAAATCTAAGCTTATTACAAACAGTTAGGTAACAAAATCTTACTATTAGGTTATTAAGAATCACTTAAGCAGTAGTATTTTTCAGTCGTCAGAACTTTTCCATGGTGTTGAAATGGCATTTTCCATGGATATTACTTCTATGCTTGCGTTTTCGTAGATATATTCGGCAACAGCCACATTTTCTAAAACATCTTCATCAATCCACTGTAACTCCTGATCTGTTTTATCAAGTTGCACCAAAAATTCCTTTTGTCTTTTAGCTGCCACACTTTCTGGTCTAATTCTTTTAATATTTGCCTATCGCCCGCAGTCTTTTTGGTGGCTGAGTATATATTTTAGTGAAGCCCCATAAAGCCCACATTTCTTGCAGATTCGTTTCTGCAAAGCTTCTTTTACTGAAGGACACATGATATCATATGGGACTTCTTTAAAATTCTTAAAGAATAAGGGTGCATTTAACCTGTCCTTTAGAGAAAGAGTACCAAACAAAATTAAGAAGTGTCCTTGTTCTTTAATGGTTAACGCATCTTTATTATACCCAACTGATTCGGGAAAAGCTCTTTAAATTGGCTTCTAAAAGCCGAACAACAGATGCGATCATCGCATTTCACAATTTGTAAAAAGTACTGGCTATACATTTTATTTTATAATTTAAATGAAGGCTCAAAAGTGTTACGTAACAAAGTCGTAAACCCCCCCTCCCCGCCTCGTAACACTTTGTCACACTTTGAGCAACCCCTCCCCCCCCCTTCGCGTGTTACGTAATTTATGGATGGCCCCTAAAGAAAATTTACTTTGTACATGTCGCCATTCAGTTTTTAAAGCAGTTTTGTCAGCAATTCCAAATTTGTCTGCAAAATACAAGACTTGTTTGAAACTAATGTCTCTGTCGGTATCAATAAAAGCTCGCGATAAGTCAAAAACAAACATGTTCTCGAAAAATTCATCCCTTATATAGAATAATCGTTCAAAAATTTGGGAAACCGTTTCAACATAAAAAGCAAGGCAATTTCCTCTAATCTCTTGAATGATTGGATTGTTTGTTTCGATATCCAGGGACAATCCGTCAATTATATCGTTGCAACTTGGTCCCAAGTCAACCTCATCCAAGGGTTTTTGGTTTTTTGATGAACGAAAATCCGTTTTATTATCAATTAAATAGGGGATCAAAGCTGACTTTAAAAAATGTCTGGCGACTGTTTTCAAAAAAGCTATACATTTTGAATGCAATAAATAAACTGTAGTTTCTTCGCGCTGAAAAAATAAATTAATGTCATTAAAAAAATATAAAACGTATTGCAAAAACGCTAGATATGCTTCTGTTCTTGGGTCGTCTAACTCAGTTTTAATTTTTTGAAAACTTGCATTATTTTTTTCCGAGAAACACAATTCCGTAAAATGTAATAAAAGTGAGGGGTACAATTCACAGATTCTTACGATAAAATCATATTGACCAAGCCATCGCGTTTTTGCAAAATCCAAATTTTTTTTTGATGTTTCTTGAACATAAGAACTGATTTGTTCAAATGGCTCTACTATTTTTGTACTATTCATGTGATGAACAATTGATTGCAAAAGTGGCTCAATATATTGAGGCATTTTCATGCAAGAATCCTTTGCAATTAAATCAAGTTTATTGCAAATACAAGGTATAAATATAATTGAAGGATTTTCTTTAAGAGTAAGAGTTTTAAAAGATTTTAAATTGCCAATCATAACTGACACACTATCACAAGAAACTGCTAATATATTTGAAAAAGGAATTTTATTTTCTCTCATATATGTCTGAAATGTTTTAAAAATTCCGTTGGCGTTTAATTTTGTGGAATCTAAAGCAATAATTCTTGGCAAAGCCATTGTTGCTTCAAGAGTTTCCGGATTGACAAACTTTACAAGGAAAGACAAACATTTCAAAGAATCGTAAGGATCAGTTGTCTCTTCAATAAAAACAGAAAATTTAACTTTGCGAAGAATTTCAACTATAGAATCTATTCTAGATTCTTCACATGGAGCCAGAACATTTCTAACCAGAGCCGAAACTTTTTTGGCACTTGCAGTCATTTTCTGAAGGATTGCAGGGTCTGTCTCTTGAAAAAAGTTTAAAAATTTGCCCATTGTTTGGTATGGGGTATTGGTGATACATCCTAATCTAACAAATTCCATTTCCCGAATTATTCTGCGATTTTTAAAAGACTCCACAGAATCATACATGTCTTCACCCGACAAGTCATCCAATGTCTGTATACCAGCTGCTTTACTATTTTCAACATGTTTCGGGTGTTTTGCATGACGGGCCACATTGCTTATGCCTCCTATGCAAGCTCTATCAACATTGCAAATTTTGCAGCGAAATTTAAATTGGTCATCTGGCACCACATCCAACCATAATTTAAAACGAATGTCTTGCAGCCATTTCAGTTCAAATTTTCTCATTTGAACTAAAGTTTCCTCACTATTTAAATGTTTTAAATGTCTTCTTGAGTTAACATGCAGAGTTGCACGTTTGATACTTACAGCCAGGATTGTTTCTTTGCAAATCTTGCAAAAAAATTTCTTCCTATCGTCAGGAACCTCTTCAAAGCATTCAAAAGTTGAAACAATAATGTCCCTTATGCGTAGAGGCTTAGAAACTTTACTATCTCCACTAGACATGATGCAAATTGGCTGAAAAAAATGTTTGTAAAGTTACCACAAAAATTATACAACACAGCAAAACAAACAAACGTAAACGCATAGAAAAAGAATATAAACGAATAATATTAATCAAAGAATAATAATATAACCTCCTTTTGTGAAGTTACTTACCACCACAATCCACAAGAAATTATACAACACAGCAAAACAATTGTCCAATGTTATATAATTTAATAACACTATTTAATGAAACACACTAAAAAATTTGCTGGAAAATAATTTTTAACAAACGTAACCGCATAGTAAAAGAATATAAACGAATAATAATATAACCTCCTTTTAAAAGGCTTTTAATACAGTGTTGCCAGGTGGGTAAAAAATAAATCCCTATCCAGTGATGTAAAAATTCCAGAGATATGGAGGTGGGGAGAATGAGTGTCAATATGCGCAAACTTCCTAATCATGGGCGCCGCCATCTTCTAGGTTACTATACGAGGGGTAATTGAAAATGTTTTACCAGGGCTATTTCAAATATACGAGGAGCAATTAAAATATATATCAATATATATTATTAATTTAAACACAAAGTTATTTATATTTCCCCAACATTTACCATTTATCTATTTTGGTTTCATAATGACTTCATTATACCGCTTTTGGTTCTTTAATGAGGTACTTTATTCCACCCAAAATTTTGATTTTATAGGTTGGCTACTGGTAAAATACAATTTTGAATACCTAGGTATAGGTTATAATATTTTTATGATTTGTTTTCTAGTACTTACGAGACTGTTCGTGCAATAAATTTTGTTTAACACCAAAGAAAATCCTTTTTTCTTCTTTAACAGCCGCTTATTGTAAATACTTATTGTAAATTAAGGACGCTATAGCGAAAGAATGTGATAATGTTTGAAAGGTTAATGACCTTTCAAATTTCAAACTGAGATACCAACTATGTAAAGTAAAATTCGACTAAATTAAATATAAGGTATAAAATTAATTTGTTTTATGAAATATTTGCAAAATAGATAAAATAGCATAAAGAACTCATGTCATAAGACCTTTTGTCGCACTCGTCCATTACAAAACTCGCTTCTTCGTCGCTCGTTTTATAAATTGTCCTCGTGCGACAAAATGACGTCTTATGACATTAGTTCTTTAATATACTATTATCTATTTTGCGTTCATAATGAATTCATTATAACACCGCTTTCGATGCTGTAATGAGATACTTTATCCCACCCAAAATTTTGATTTTATAGGTTGGCTATAATTTAAACACCATAATATTTTGCATGTTGGTTATAATATTTTTATGATTTTTCTAGTACTTACGAGACCTTTTTGGCAATAAATTTTGTTTATCACCAAAGAAAATTCTTTTTTTCTTCTTTAGCAGCATCCAGCATGGTATACAAATGAAATAATAAATAACATACAATTAAAAAACCACTATCATAAAAAATTTATACGCTCTAAAAATATAAATGCTTTAAATGATTTCAAAGCTTTGAGAAAAATTATTAAAAAGCAAGTAAAGTTAGCTTATAATGATTTTCTGGCTAAAGTTGAGTCGAAATTAAATCTGATCCTAAGAGTTTCTGGCACTACATTCAAACAAAAAAAGGTGGGTCGCGAATTCCTTCTAATATGTTTTTTGAAAATGATGAATTTGAGTGTGCTGAGGATATAGTTGCTGGTTTTGCAAACTACTTCAAGAGTGTTTATGAGACTGGAAACCAAATTATTTTAAACAGTTTTAACCAAAGTTCAAACCACATTCACTTAAATTGTTTCCATCAAAAAGACATATCCAAGGCTATTAAATCTCTAAAAAATAGCTTGACCTGTGGTCATGATCAAATTCCCAGTTTCTTTATTAAGGATTGTCAACATTTGTTAACTTCACCCCTTCTTACTATATTTAACATCATTTTAAGGACTTCAAAATTTCCTGAAAAATGGAAAGTAACCCGTATTACTCCGATTTTTAAAACTGGTAATTGCCATGACATTGGTAATTATAGACCAATTGCAATTCTGTCGAACTTGTCCAAGGTTTTTGAGAAGTCTTTATATTTCCACGTCTACAATGGCATTTCGCAGTGTATCTCACCTTATAAACATGGTTTC